GATTGTTCAGATACCAGTTTTTGCGATATATGTATCTCCTTTATGTAGGAATCTAAACCCATTAAATTGTGTTACCGGTTTACGTACCGATCACACAGTAGTGAAAATCACTTAGATTGGTGCTATATAAGGTATATCTTCCATACCTCTGATTGTTTAGATATGATTTTTTATATATGCATCTCCTCTATCTATGTCTGCTGTAAATATATTTATAAATTTATTCAAATGCTATAATCTGTTAAAGTAAAATTTTCAGATGCTCATGAAAGGTATGAAGTCTTCGGCATAGTCGAAGAGAGCGCTGCTCTTACTTGTTAAGAAATAATTTAGGCAAAAAATGTTCCATTCTTACACAATTCTTTGGTAAAAAATATTGGATTCCTACATAATTCTTACCTAATAAAGGTTATCTTTTAACACGAAAATAGTCAATTATCTTTATAGCTAGACTTTGAACATTTCCGCTGGAAATACTTATTAAAGGATCTTACTCTTTGACTTTAAATTACAAAAGAAGGGGGACAGTTTTAACGTAGCATCTCCACAGGCAACAATTTGTCTTTTTTTTTGCCAGATATACGTTTTATCAGTGTACAATATTCGCATTCGCAAAACCTCCGCATTGATTATTGCGAATGCGAATATTCGAAACAACCCTGCTTCATAATGATACCAAGCCTGTGGTGATTTATTCCGATGGTTGTACATATCATAATCGTAATACTGTTGTTGCCAAAGCTCTGCTTAGACTTGCTATTGAATACGAAGTTGAAATAACTCAAAAAATTTTAGAGAAAGGCCATACGCAGACGGAGGTAGATTCCGTGCATTCTGTAATAGAGCGTAAATTAAAAAATCGTCAAATATATTTACCTTGCCAATATAGTTCGGCAACACAAGAAGCGCGATGCAAGCCATTCCCGTATAGCGTGAGGCATGTAAACCATACTTTCTTTAAAGACTATAATAACAAACAATATCATGTATATGATTCAATACGACCAGGTCGTAAGACAGGAGATAACGTAGTTTTCGATTTACGTGTACTTAAATACTCCCCCGATGTCTCAATCACCTACAAGATATCTTTCGAAAGCGACTTTCTAAAGCTGCCTCAACGGCCTAAACGCAAATGGGACAGAAACGTCTCGGTTACCAATAACAAAAACTAAATATCAAGTTGACAGGTAATAAGGTCAATGGAAATAAGGTCAAATGACTTTATTCCCCACCCTGGTGCGAAATAAAGTCAATTGGCATTATTACCTTTTCAAAAGCGAAATGAAGTCAACAAAAATTTGGAAATAAAGTCATTGACGCTATTTCCTCATTCAAATGGAAATAGCGTCAACAATGCTTAAAGTATGTCGATTCATAGAAAAAAATGTTGTTCTTACTATAAACATTGCCCCGTAAGTGTGGTTTTTTAATAAATGAAAAACGTTATTGCCAAATCCCCTCAGTGTTGTGATATTAATCCACACACAATCATGAACTACCACCAATTGATTGTATTAAAAAAATTTAAATTACGAATATGTAAAAACACGATGCGAAAAACGAAACGCCTGCGCACAGCTGGAATACGAGAAATATCTGAAGAAAGAGTATAGAAATGATAACTTGCAAAATATGTTTCGTTTCCACAAAAATAAAGCGAACACTATTAAATTGAAGAAACAGTCCATGTCCAAAAACCCCGGAGGAACACTGAAAGAATTCTGTGTTTTAAATTAGCATATTTTGAACGAATTCGGAATGTCTAAGGTGGAAAAGGAAACAATTATAGAAAAAGAATTTTCTTACACTGTATTCATGTCTCCGCCAGCAATTTGTGACGACATCATTTAAAAGCAGCTAAGGAGAACGACGACACTATTTATTAGATGGCACAGAGCCATTGTGCCAAAATACGGGTATAAACAATTATTGATTATTTAATATCGGAACCTAGATCATATAGGTTAATTGATTGGTTTTTACACACTTTTGAAACACAAATTATATGCTTTTTTACTGCAGACAAGTTGTTGCCCCAAAACACAGCAGAAATCTTCCATTCAGGGCTGCCAACTATCCTTAGTTATGAGGTGCCATATTGAGGATAAAAAAGTGCCAAAATGTGCCCAATAGAAAAATGAAAGTGCCATAAAAGGTGTCATTCCTTTTAATCATTCACATTTAGCAATAAAATAAAGCTACATTTTCCAAACAAAAATGCAATCATAAAATAAGATAAACCAGTTGAATAGCCTATATAAATTAGAAAATTTTAGTTGAGAATAAGGATTTCACAAAAATGTATTGAAATGTTATTTTTTTACGAAAGTGCCATTTTGGCACTTTGTGCCAAATTGAAAAATTAAGTGTCATTTTAAGTAAAATAGGGACAAATGATACGGTTTGAGCCAAGTTGGCATTCCTGCTTCCAATAACTTACAAATATAAAAATAATATCTGATTTTAGAAACCATCTGGGACTTATTACCTGCGTAGCGTGACGTGGTGTGCGCGCCGGTCGCGCAGGGTACGCGGGGCGCGAGCGCGTCAGCGCACCACACCGCGCGCGCCGCCGCGAAGCTAAGCAAATTTAATGTTTGAAAGAGAAATAATGTCAATGGATTTTATTTCGTTTTTAAAAAGGTAATAATGTCAATTGACTTTATTTCGCACCAGGGTGAGAAATAAAGTCAATTGACCTTATTTCCGTTGATCTTATAACCTGTCACCAATATCAACACTTGCAAAATGTACATGCAATACCACCTATAAGACAAATAAGACTATTAAAATTGTTGTAACTTCAAGTATTTATTAATCTAATTTGTTAACAATATTCAGGAATTTTAAGTAAGAACACTTGATAGCGGAAATCGTAATATAAACGAAGTGGTGTGTAGTTTGCAAACGTCAACTTGCGAAGGATCTTATGAAACAGTGTTGCATTAGATGCGTCATTCAGTTCTTAGGAACAGTGTTGCGTTGAGATGCATCAGTCCCTCCGCACCTAGTCAAGAACCCTCCCGTTAGTCCTCATAGGCGAGCTTTCAACTGGTTACGATGGCGACGGAGTAAGCCTTGGTCCGTACTCACGCGATACATCATACTGCCAACTTTGCTTTGAATTACACCAGGAATCCACGGTGGACCCCGTGCATAGTTCCTGGCGTAAACGTTTGTCGAAACAGCGTACGATGATTCCGACCCGGCCCTGGACCCTTGAGTGGGAGTGGGTACAAGCATATTAAGCCGTGTTTTTGGCTGGCGGCCATGTAGCAATTCCGCCGGCGACTTATTGCTACTGCCAATGGGACAAGTTCTGTAAGTGCTAAGAATGGTTACTAGTGAATCTAAATGATTTTTACCGTCCGCGACTGCTTTCTTAAAGGCTTGCTTAAAGGTGCGCACAAAGCGTTCAGCTTCGCCGTTCGATGCCGGATGAAAAGGCGCAGTGGTGAGATGCATAATCCCATTGCTGTTACAAAAAACCTGGAACTCGGCCGCTGAGAATTGCCGTCCGTTATCCGTGACTATGGTATCAGGCAGACCTTCGACAGAAAATATTACTTTTAAGGCATCGATCGTTGCTTGAGCCGTTATACTGGCCATCTTTGTTACAAATGGATATTTCGAAAATGCGTCGATGCATATAAGCCAAGTAGCGTTATGAAACGCTATGTGTGTATCCTTAGACGGCCACTAGCAGTGTTGACGCGCCATTTGCTTCATACGCGTCATACCCCGGTGTCCTTCATGCAGCAATTCAAGGACGGTTGCTTGTGCCGTCAACGGTAGGACCACACGCGTGTACTCTGTTCTCAATATAATGAGCCCCATTTCCAAACTAAGCGCGTGCCGGTGAACAAAAACGGCTGTAGCTCGCGGTGTTGCGATGGAAGCTTCTCAGGTCACCCCTTTTCGATGAATCGCCACACTTGTTTAAGAGTGCGATCCTTTGCAGTTAGGTTTGCCAGATGTTGGACATTAAGTGGTGATGCAGTTAGGTCAGATTCGACCTGCATGCATGCTTCACTTTGGTCGAACTCGGCATCCGGCCCTACTGGAAGCCGTGACAGAGCGTCTGCGCTACAAAGCTTATCCGTTGGCCTATATCGTATAGTATACGGATAGGACATGAGCAGTAATGCCCAGCGCTGAAGGCGTTGTATCATCACAGAAGCTTGCAGTCGCTCGAATACTGATTGCAAATTTTCCAATAACTCTTGTACTGACTTACCAGCTACTAATATATCGTCAAGATAAATAATACACATCGGAATACCTTCAATGACTTGTTCCAATAGCTTCTGAAATAGGGCCGGAGCGCTGCCCACTCCCATCGGCAGGCGTTGATACTGGAACAAGCCCAATGGGGTATTAACGACCATTAGCTGCTTCGCTTCTTCGGTCAGACCCACTTGCAAGTATGCGTCTGAAAGGTCAATTTTGGCGAAGATTGTGCCTCCTTGCTTGCGGCACAGTTCTTCAATGCGGGGTATTGGGTAGTGATCTATCTCGAGCTGTGCGTTCACAGCTTTGAAGTCACCTCATATCCGCAAACGCCCGTCTTTTTTTTTAACCACTACGATGGGTGCTGCCCATTTGCTGAACGTAATTGGTTTCCATATCCCGCAGTCCGTTAGACGCTGTGCCTCTAATTTGACGTCATTCAATTGCGCGAAAGGTATAGGGCGAGATTTGAAATACTTAGGTGTCGCATCATGTTTTAACCGTAACTCAGCTTTTGAAATTGTGCAATAACCCAACGTGCCTTCAAACACATCTGCAAATTTTTTCAAAAGCCCTTCGATATTTTCGTTAGGATCCGTCGTAACGGCGTTTACGTGATGTGCTTGGCACGCGCATAATCCCAATTCTTCTAGCAAATCCGTTCCAAGGATTTCACTATTTTGCTGAACATTAGCTACAACAAGTTTCACTAGCCGTTTAATTTTCCCATGATGAATAGTGACATCAATAGTTCCCAAAATGCTTACAGCACTTCCCCCATACGCGATTAGCTTACCAGTTGGACAGGGAGTAAGACTTGGCTTTCCAATTTCATTATATGCATCTAAGCCAATCACGGAGCAAGTGGCGCCGGTATCCATCTGAAACTTGACCGGTACTTCATTCACCCCTATTTCAAACAGATATTTGTTTCCTACTTTGTTTGGCACGGTGCTCGTAATTGAAGCAACAAAGTTGATCGTTGACACACTTCGCTGAGCGTTATTGTTGTTAGTCTGCGGTTGCTTCTCCTTTTTATTATTTTTAATGTCGGTAATTGCACTTTGTGCTTTACAAACTGGTGCGATATGGCCGAAACGATTGCACTTTCGGCATTGTGCATTACGAAATTTGCATTGGCTTCTGGAGTGGTGCTTCCCGCACCCAGAGCAGGATTGAAAACAGTTACTCTTGCTTGCGCTTGGCTTAAGCTTTTTTTCAGCTTGGTGCTGTTTCAGCTGAAATACTTCGCTGCGTTCTGCTGTGCTAGATGACATCCGATTTTTCATGGCCTGTGTTGTTTCATAGCTTTCGGCTATAGCTATAACATCTGCGAGTGCCGGATTAGGCTTTTGTAGTGCTGCAGTGCGTACCGGTTCATGTGGCGAATTCAAAACTAAAATGTCTCGAAGCAGGTCATCTATAAATGACGTTTTGCAAGTATTGTTACTACACACGAACCTGCAATTCCGTGCTATGCCCCGCAGTTCAGCAACCCATTCTGAATACTTTTGTTCTGGTTTCATTTTCGATGACAGAAATTCGTATCTTGAGGCCAGTACGTGAACATTTTCCTTGTAGTGCGTTGACAACTTTTCTATAATGCTTTCGTATGTCTGCGTTTGTATGTCTTCTGTGCCGAAAAGTTAGGATAGCAGCTCAAAACAGTCGGCTCCTACCCACGAAAGGAAAAATGCTCGTTTCTGTTCCTGCTTCATGATTGAATACGCTTCGAAGTGCTGGGTTAATTGTGCGATGTACGAGTCAAAACTTTGTTTTGTATGCACATACGGTGGAAAGGCTGGCACGGATATATTTGTTGAAGTTATGGTCGACTCACGAGGATTTTCTTGCATTTTAGCAAGAATTGTTTTTTGCTCTTCCAATTGTACAATCATCCATGCTCTATTTGTACTCAATACGTCCACTAAAAAGTCCTGCTGTTGCTTTAGCAGTCTCTCGATAGTTTCTTCCATGGTAATGCAGCTTTTTACCTTTTTGCCTTTTTACGCTTAAATCGAACGATTCCGTGAACTCACTGACTTTACCTCGTCGCCAGTTATTTGTTGTAACTTCAAGTATTTATTAATCTAATTTGTTAACAATATTCAGGAATTTTAAGTAAGAACACGTGATAGCGGAAATCGTAATATAAGCGAAGTGGTGTGTAGTTTGCAAACGTCAACTTGCGAAGGATCTTATGAAACAGTGTTGCATTAGATGCGTCATTCAGTTCTTAGGAACAGTATTGCGTTGAGATGCATCAAAAATAATACTAGTTTCGGCTTGATTATGGTTTTGTTATAGAAAATTGCATTCATTAATAACAAAAAAAAAAAACAAAAAAAAAATGCAGTCATACGATTAGCCAACGGCTTTAAAGAAAACTCGTTTTTTCGCTCTCCTGTAAAATTTTAGTGCCGTCAGATTGACGGTTTTGCAATTGGTCGATAGGCGGTTTTGCAAAAACATCGACGATATGTATTCTAGCAGACCAGGCTAACTTCGCCCGGCCCAAAATTAATATTTTATTGAAACATTTGGTCCAATGTTAATACAATCAATTCACGTTCACATTTGGTTTTGTGGTCGTCCTCCATGGCCGTCCTAAATAACCTAACGAAAGCGTTATGTCCGTGAAAAAGTTCTTGCGGAAACAGTGATCCGGTTCAATTGTGAATCGTCCTTGAATCTGTATAGTACAGTTGGTGGCAATTTCAAAATGGGCGATTATCATTGGTCCACAGAAATCCAATATACATAGTCTTATTTCAGGCGAAATACCTTAAATATCTTACAATTGTATTTGTAGGTATCTATCAAGAATTGTCTTTATTCTGTTTAGTCGCCGTAAAGCAAGGCTGCAATGGTTATGCTGGTTGATTTAACGGTGGAAATTTGACTTCGATCCCTGATGCCTTCGAATGACTTCACTTTACGATTTTTACCAATAACTCGACTCCATCGCCACCTTGCAGCTCTTTTTTTATACCTTTCATGAGCATGAAATAGTATTATAACTTTGGTCCGATGTTTGTAAGTACCAGAATAAGAAGAGATAGACCCATTAAAATGTATACTTAAATGATCAGAACGGCGAGCTGAGTCGATTTAGCCATGTCCGTCTGTCCGTCTGTCTGTCTGTCTGTCTGTCTGTCTGTCTGTCCGTCTGTTTGTATGCAATCTAGTCTCTCAGTTTTCCAGATATCCGGATCAAATTTGGTAGGTGGGTGTATT